TATATGGCTTGTGTAGGCTTATGATAATAGGAGACTCTTCAATCGAATGCAAACTTTCATTGATGAATTCTAGCGTCCTATTTTGCTCATAGGAGACCTTATCAACCACGTTGGCATGGCTCCTTGTACTAGGCTCTCGCTGCCTTGACATGGATGATGATGTACTCGACTGTTACTGGTAACACCGATATTCGAGAAATTTTATTCCTGCAATCATCACATATATTGACTACAAGTCGAAGAGAAGGGAGTTTGTTATAGATACATGGCAAGACGAGATTCTTCTTGGATGAATATTTCGCCTTGTCGAATGGGTTGCAACAGGAAATCGTCCACTGCGGTTCATCCATCTCTCTCATTTCCCAATCAGGGACAATGAGGACGAATAGCGCATAACATCACAAGGTGATGCATTATAACTTAGAAACTGAGAAATAAACTAGTGAAACAATGCTGAGGGAGCCTGTAAATAACCTAAGGAGAGAGCAATTGCCAGAAATTTTTGGTGAGATTTTGAAACTTTGGAATACCTCTAAAACTATCTGGAACGTTCCACAATTTTTTTCCTGGACGCTTCGAACACTTTAACAACTTTCTAGAATAGTCCTGATAGTTCAGACAACTCAATTCTGAAAAAATTCGCTGAAACTGGATGTATCCAGATATTTCTAGTACATTCTCTTCAGACTTTTGGTCATTTGCTGCCACATAATTGTTCGTATCTCCTGATCCCATTGCAGTCCCAAGTTGAAATTGTAAGCACTAATGGAGAAAGAATTGGCAATAGTACGGTAATTTTTTTAAGGAAATAAAACATGACCTTTTTCTGTAATTAAAGGTCAAAGGTAAGATCCTTTGACCTTTATTTTTATTGAAGGTCCTTGAGTAACATATCATTTGAAAGGACATGAAGAGACCTTTAAAGTGACACCAATATCCGCTTTTTATGTTGATTACAACAAAAGGTATGCGCACTTAAGCGATGACAACTTGACCCGAAATCGATTACTTTTTGTTACTTTCAAATTGCTACATCTTCGGAATTACTTGAGGCAGAAAGCTGCAATTTGGCATGGGATAGTTTTTCAATAGTTCAGCAAAGTTCTTGGAAATCGAAGGGGGTGAGGTAAATGGCTGTGTTGATTTGACATGGAATTACCCAGTATTTCCTTTTCTTTCCTGCTCTTTTTGTACATGTATAGGACTTGTAGGTGCAATCTGGGCCTCGAGAGGATCAATATTGGTGGTGTCAAGATAAAGACACTTGTCCTAGCTGATGAGGTCCATTTCATCTAGGTTAGACAGGAATTTTAAAAAGGTGCTGGATTGGCGTGTTTCTGAATGCAATGCATACAAAAGATGTGTTCGAAAAGTTCATGGACTGATTACTTCCTGAGATTACGATGCAAAGTATGGGCAATTGGGAGCTGTACCCTTCAAAGTAGTTCCCTTGGGTGTGCAAACACTCTGCAAAACGCTCCTGCAAGTTCCCGAAGCATTTCTCACTGTCCTCTTTTTGTAATCACCCGAAGCGCCCTCGTCGCGTTGCTTCTGATCAACTCGATATCTTCAAAACTCCTCCCTTTCGGCGCTGATTCCAACTTGGGAAAGAGAAAGGAGTTACGTGGAGCCAAATCAGGAGAATGGTCGAGAACAGGGATGCCATTCTTCACTTGGAATTGTCGCAAGGAGAGGGCGGTGTGAGTTGGGACGTCGTCGTGCTGCAGAATTCACGTACTCGCCTCCCATTTCTCTTGTATTTTCCGTCGGACGGCGTCACGGTAATTCAGGACACCCAGGTAGAGAGCGTGGTTCATCCTTTGCCACGCCGGTACGAATTCGCAGAGTCAAAGGATCCGATCGGCATCACCTTTGATTTTTGCCGTAGCGCCTTTTTGGGTCTCGGCGAACTTATCCTCTTCCATGACGAACTCTGGCGTCTGGTTTGGGGGTCGTAACCGTAAACCCATGTTTCATCGTCCGTGATGGTGTTGCGAAAGAAGGTGAGCATCATTTTCGGCACCAGTCAACAGATCCTGACGAACGCTGACACGTTGCCGCTTCTGTTCGGCAATGAAAAGGAACTTTTGTGGAGACGCGCTGCATGCCCAAATCTTGGGTGATGGTGGCATAACAAGTGCCGATCGACACGTTCGTTTCCTCTGCCACCTCTCAAACTGTGATGCTCCTGTAGGAGCTCACCGTATTCTTGACACACACACTCGATGCCTTCGTGACGTCGAAGGGCGTTCATTGCGTGGGTCGTCTTCAGTCGATTCCTGGCCATCACTGAAACGTCCATACCACATAAAAACCTTGTTATGTATTAGAATAGACTCTCCATAAAATGCTTGCAGCATGTCATGAGTCCCCGATGCCGTTTTCCGAGTTTGAAGAAAATTTTATGAACTTTGCTGCTCCTGAAAGTCGCCTATTTTGGATAAAGACGATCGGCTGAGTCATATCCGACTGCGCAGGCTGGATGGTGAAAACGCGGAGAGCGTTTCCAGGAGAGACAGGGCCATAGCCCTGTCCCTCCTGGGGGCATTTAAGCACACTACTGTATATAGTCTCTTGCTGCAGCAACAGATTGTAGATCTCATTCAAAACACAAGTATATCAGTCCCGGAACTGTTTAAACACACCATGTAGAATGACACTCTGTATCTCCCAAACCCAATTAATGGTTCTCTAGAAAAATCATGTCCAGTACATCCTTTGCCTCTGGTGCAGACTGGAACAGGCTGAGAAGTACAAGCGCCTCTGGTTCAGGTTTTTGAGCGATGAGCATTATGATTGATGCATCTCCAGAGCTTCTGTAATTCTGTGGGAACTTTGGTGGACTATGTTGCCATATCAGACATTTCCACAGGGTCTAAAATTGGTTTTAAAGAGAGTATATTTCTTGACCATCACCTTCAACTATGACTACTTTTTCCTACAGACAAAGAGGTCAAGGGTGTTCTTTGGTCAATCTGCATTGCTGAAGAATTCGATGTTGTCAGAAGCTGTTGAGTGGTAAGGTTTTCGGAAAAAGGCGCTATGTCAATAGGAATTATCATTTGGCCAATGCCCAAGATATTCTAAGGCTTCTTGGTTTCCTGAATTCCTGTTAATGAGGCATTACCAGGAATTCAAGAGGAACTGCCAATTCAGTTTGGGTCCAGTGCAGTTTTTGCAAAAACAATGCAGAACAGTTGAAACGAAATGCTTCATGAGTCCCTGTCAGAACCCCACAGGAACTGAGTCAATGTTGCTTTTTTTGTTGACAAAAATACACTTAATGCAACTGAACCAGCAGTTCCTCCTGAATTTACGTTAACAAAGTTTACTTGTAACACATAAGCAAGATATAATATCTTGATATATTTAAGATATAATATCTTAAGAGTATTGACCAATAGGCGATTCTTCATGACGAAGCCCCTTGAATCAAAGTCTTTGCCACTCTGCAGTACCAGCAGTTCTGACAAGCAAAAACATTGATTTCTTTAGCCAAGCAGAAATGACACAGAAATTCCCCTGAACTCAGTCAGGGAGATCTACAGATTCAATGTTGAAAGGCTGAGCTGAGGATCTGACGCTCTGTAAGGTTCCAGGGCAAAATTTCTCTGGCTGCCATTAGGAACATGTTGATAATATTCTCCAAAATCTTGAGTGTCACATTGATCTCTTCCTGAATTTGCTGCAGTCGTACCCATTTTGCCTTCAAGTGGTAATCCAGGCTGATGATGGGCAAGGACAAAGCTGAGGTTGAAGCAATAACTGCCAATGAATAAAAATAATGGCTGTCTTCCCCCAGCATACATCTTTCCTAATGAGGGGGAGGGAGGGGTTAAAATGTTGACAATGGCCTTGATCTATTACACAGTACAAGTTTTTCTTTTGAGTCTTGTGTCACCCATATGCTATATGGCCCAGTGAGCCAAATGTTAGGGCATCCCTGCATCAATGGTATTCCTGGGGGCAATGCATGGATTTGAGTAGCACCACATTTTAACCCTTTAAATCCCATGCCTGAGTATACTTGTGATTGCCTCCAGGGCTGTCATGCCTAGCCCAACTCTGGCCCAAGCCAGAGCACATGTGCAGCTTTGGAAATTTGGTGATTAAAGGGTTAAAAGAACAGTGGGAGAGGTTTTGTAATTGGCACAACACATGATACAGGGTGGTGCAAAAGTCCTGTCTTATAGGAATCTCCTTCCCTAAAACAAATGTTCAAACAGGTCGCCTTGGACTGTTTAATAGATTCACAAGAGTGACTCCCACGTGTGCAGGAGCATATTCGCCACTGTATCCATGTCTGAAAAAATCCAAGGCAACCAGTTTGAACATCTGATTCAGTAAAAGAGATACCTACAAGAAAGGGCTTTTGCACCACCCAGTACAACAATTTGTCAAACAAAATTGGCTCAAAAAGCCAGCTGTCCAGAATCTCTGGAGCATGGTCTGCCCTAAGCAGTGCCTGCTTCCAGCACTCTGCCATGACAGGATTCAATGACATATTCTCATTAATCCCATATGTCTGTCATGAGCACCTTTGCACTTCACTAGCCAACACCAAAGCCTCAAAGAAATTCTGTATAACTGAAATCTTCATCTTGATGTTATGATTACCTTTAGAGGAACTACAGTAACAGGTTACTTTTTGAAAATCCCACATATCCCAGCAACAAAAGACAGGTGAACCATTAATGCATGTTCAATGGAGTCCATGCAACTCACCAAAATAAGTTAGTAAAAGATCCCTTAAGTGCCACTGAATTTGTAGCCCAATAAACTTGAAGAAAGAGGGTTTTTCAGTTAGGCAACTTGCACAAATGAATGAGATTTTTGAGTCAGCAACAGCACCATTACCATAAATGTTAAAAAATACAAATGTTTTAAATTATAAACAGTTGATGCAAATACAGGAAATTTGAGAAATAAAGATCCTAATAATAGACAGGGAAGATGAAATTAAGAACCTTACCGCAGATTCAAGATATCCATCTTTAACATCATCGCAGAGGATGAGATGATGGATTCCCTGGGAATGGAGACCTGGAAACCTGGACCCGCTGAGGACGTGTGTATGAATAACTTGACAGTGCATTCCTGTATGGATTTGGTTGCCGTGGAGGTCCACGCACAACTTGTCGGAAAGGATGTTGGAAGATCTGCTGTCGGTATACATGAGCCATTTGGTTCTGGTGTTGCAGGAGCAGCTGTGGGTTCTGCTGCAAAATTTGTCTTCTCCTCTGTTCCATTGCAGCTGCCTCCTGCATAGCTTTCATTCTAGCCCTCATCCTCTCTTCCTCCTGCAACAACATGCATAGCTCAGGGAATTTCACATTGTTAACCTAAGTCTCTGAAAAGATCAAGTGTCAACAAAGTGTATCATAACCCTTTGCTCCTCCCCTACACGTGAAACCAGAAGTGTTATCAGTCTAAGATTCATAACACTAGCATACTCTTAAATGAAACTTATCCAGCTTACTTCTGATTTTTAAGTGACAATTGTGAAATGTGATGCACAGGGTCAAGAGCATAGATTTCCAAGATGGTCAAAACATTGAACTCAAACAAAAAAAATGGAAAACTAAATAAATCAGCCTTTTTGCAAATGTATCCCAGTGACTTGAATGTTTACTCCAGCCATCCTCAAACCATCTTCCTAATTGGCCATGTTTTACAGCTATCCATTCTTCATAAAACTTGGTCCAGTAACACTTTGAGTCTTATTCTTATCATATGACAAGTAATGCTCAGGGCCAAAATCACCAAGGTTGAAAGTAAAGGTTAACTCTTTGACTGGCAAGTTTTGCAGATGCCTGTTATATGGGAGCCTGTAAAATTTATGGGCATGCCAGTCAAAGGGTTAATGTCATATGCTTCACAAGAAGTTATATGTATAATTTTGTGTGCCACCTTTTGCTGCTCTGACTTCAAAATAAGTTCAGCTTGTGATAGACTTTCAAATGATGCCAACCTGATACTGGTAATACAGGGTGTCCCAAAAGGTATGGAAACATTTTAAAAATGAATATCTCTCTAGGAAATGCTTCAAATTGAATGATGAAAACAGTAATTGAAAGAGCAACTCAAACATTTTTTTAAAGCTGCTATTGCAATTCCACGTGGGCACCATTTGTTACTCTGTAGATGTCCTAACGATGTTCAAGCTCTTGCCACACCATATGTAGAGTGTCAAGCGTAACTGTCTGGATAGCTGCAACGATTCTGTTCTTCAGATCTTAGAGATTGTCAACTTTTGTTGAGTAAACAATATCTTTGAAGTAACCTCACAAGAAAAAGTCCAGGGGGTGAGATCAGGTGATTGTGGTGGCCATGGAATGGGTCCACTCTGTCCAATCCACCGATCTGGGAATTTTCCATCCAGGGACTTGTGCACAAGTTTGCAAAAATGTGGAGGCACATCATCTTGCTGGAAAACCAGAGATTCATTGACCTCAAAACTGTTAATTTGAGGGTAAACAAAGTTTTCCAACATGTCCAGGTAGATGACACCAGAAATCATCTGCTCTTGGAAAAAAAATGGTCCTATGACTTGGTTGCGCAAAAGTCTGCACCAAATGTTGACCTTCGAGCTAACACGCTCATGTTCCACATAAGCGCATGGATTTTCAGAACCCCACACCCTGCAATTGCAATGATTAACTCTCCCACTGATGTGAAACGTGGCTTCATCAGAGAATATCATATATGAAAGGTAATCTTCATTTTCCATTCTTTTGAACACGGTACACATGAAATCCTTCCTTTTTGGACAATCATCAGGCAGGATTTCTTGCACAAGTTGTAACTTGTAAGGCTGCAGTCGAAGTCTTTTTCGCAACACTCTGTGCACAGTGGATTTTGGAATCCCCAGAGTTTGGCTACACCATCACACAGATTGCTTTGGACTGCGAGTGAAAGCTTCTCCTATGTGCTTGACATCATTGTCTGAAGTTCCTGGCCTTCTTTTTAGGTTAAACAGTGCCAGTGTTTTGAAAATGTTTGTACCACCTTTGAATGGAGTTGTACAAAGGTGCTTGCCTTTGGTACACACAAAAAACACGCACTGTGCTTTCTCTTGCAGGGTTGCCATGACTACAGTCAAACCCTCTGATAGCAGGGTTTGGCCCCAAGCCTATAAGCTAAGGTAGGTTTTACTGTAATTATTGTTGGCTAAAAAAATGTTTGAATTCAATTACTGTTTTCATCATTCATTTTGAAGCATTTCTTAGAGATATTCATTTTTAAAATGTTTCCATACCTTTTGGGACACCCTGTACTTTTGCCAGTAGAAAGAAGAGCATAAAAGGTTACAATATATCCAGGGTGGCAATTTGGTTGTTACTATGATAGGATGTAAAGCTGCAAGGATTCAGGGTCATGATGCCAGGTCTACTTTTATGGTGCTATGAAGTACAAAGGGGGCCACATAAAGCACAATACTGTTCAATACCCAAAATCAGACAAGAGTGGAGTTATGAGGTCAGAGTATTGATTAGACTGACAATAAATACCATCAAGGCATTCAGGTTGAATGGGTCAATTATAAGGAAATTTTATTGTGCATCCAACAGCAACTACATGCATTAATGCAATGTAACTTCCCTGGCTCACAAATAAATCCCAAGTTTCAGCATTCATGAACCAACAGTTCTCAAGATATTCTGCCCCAAAGTGAACCCCGAGGGGAAAAAGTGACCCCATGGGTAAAACAGCTATCTTTGCCCTTAGCCCTTCAAGCAGGTATGACAGATACATCTGTCATGACCAATGTCCCTGATATACTCTATCTGTTTTTTTAGGTTGCAATGTATTATGAGGGCTGGTCAATGTATTCTCGGAAAAATGCTTTTATTGTTCTTGGATTTCGGCAATTTTTTCAGGACACTTTCTTCAACATATTATTACTTCTCAAAATATTTTCCGCCATGATCGATGCACTTTTTCATGCGACCAAACCATGCAGAAAAAGAGTCCTGCAAATCGGCTTCTGAAAACTTCTCCAGTTCCTCTTCCATCGCCTTCACAAGATCCTCCTGCATGTCAAAACGCCTCCCCTTCAGGTTTTTCTTCATTTTTGGGAAGAGGAAGAAGTCGCAGGGTGCCAAATCT